TGTTTTCAGCCGATTAATGAGTGTTTACATGTGGGAGGAAACCGACGCGTGCGAGGGGGTAACACTCTAACACACACACGGAGATTTTTGTGAGGGTTCCAAGCCCGTTGGTGGCTGCAGTGTGTCCAGGACATAGCAGTACAACAAGTGGGTTCAAAAACCCATCTGTGCGCATCTTCCTTCCCTTGCTAAAAAACTGTTCTTAATTTGCCAAACCCTCCAACTCTGGATGCGGACCCTCAGAAAGTATGCATCTTGAGAAGTTGATGATTTTCTGATATAGTTTACAATATTATTACTATTATTGCAGATTGAAGATTACCGTTAAATATGTTTACATTAATTGTCATATTGTACTGATTGCAAGGCACTACGGAAAAATAGAGGCAACCTCAAACTTGCGCCCGGTGTCAAAAAAATCATATATAAATGATCTCACACACACACACGGCAACCAGATTAAAAGACGCACACCCTCAATTTTTGCTGGTAAACTCAAGGGGGCGGGGGAGGGTAAAAGTGCATCTTACAATCTGGAGCATACGGTATTGTTTGCAGAAAAAATACCACACGTATTATACAACTTCACGGCTTGGTTGAGGGGCCATTGGGGGGATAAGTGTTTGAATGGGGGAGGGTAGGAAAAGTCACATGAGCATTTCCCACGTGTTTAAGCCGCTACTTCCTGCGACTGCATGACAACCGCATTATCATCGTTCATATATCGATTACATAAAATGGGACCAACAGCGTATATGCATAGTCGTGAGAGCCCCGTTGGTACAGAAGAGCCTCGTTCTCACAAATAGGATAAACATTACAAATGTAACGAAGCTCAAAATTGACATCATGAATTGTTTCTGTGGATGTTACAAAGCACGATGATTACAGTTATTGGCCCTTTGTAACTCCACTTGTGGAAGAAGGCCTCACTCCGCCGTGTCGGTCGTCTGACAATACTTCACCGCGCTGGTCGGCGAAGGTTGGCAAAAAGCGGCGCACAGAACCATTGCAGGTATCACTTCGCCACTGACACTGGGAATCTATCTCAAGTGGCCAGGTTCAGTGAGCTCCGATTAGCACGGTTGGCGATGTACGGTGCGAAAGAGCTCATACACTCAACCTGTCAGAGCGTAATTTAAAAATACAATACATTTCAAGCTACAGTTATGTGAATTAATTGTTGGTTTGTGTTCATCTCCAGAAGTGACCAGAGCCAGTTGCGGATCATTTGCATTCTCATGCCAGTGGCCAAATCTAACCACGATATGACCACTGGCGACTTCCCATCCATTGAAACTTTGATCCTTACCCTGTGTATCGATAGTTCAATGTTATTGTGCCATTTTATTTAGGGACTACTAGCGTCTGTTATCTTGGTGTGGGGTCTGGGACTGTTTTGTTGTTGTTTTTGCTACCGTGCCGAAGCCAGATAAAATGGGGCTTATATAATTCATGCGTTTATTATTTATTCATATCGTATTGCTGTTGTAACTTCTTTCTCACCCGCTCCATATTGGAGATTTGCGAACAAAAGTGCTTCGTAAGCTCATCGGATTCATCCTCCACAGTCCAAATAAAGATTCTGATTCTGAACCGCACTCCATTTTACCATCCACTTAAGAATGAAATAAGTCGACCCCCAAACTGGGACTTAAACTCACACCGTATCGCTTTTTGGGAGTCGGCTACTCTAACCACACTGCTATCAGCCCATGGACTGGTATATAATACGGGTTATATAGGTTTACCCAAACATGGCCGTGGCCTCTTTAGTTTAACTTTGAAATCTGTATCAATGCGTCATCCTATTTCACAGGGGTCTGCAATAACACCAGAACTGCAGTTGTTCACCCAGGAAAAGTCTTGCCAAAGCTACAGACACACCTGATTGCATTTTATGGACTGTGTATTTTGCGTGTGGAAATCGTGGTGTGCATACAAGGGTGGGAAGACTCAAATATCCACCCATATAGATTATATATCCTACTTGCTGTGCTGTCTCAGAAAGTGCTTTACTCCTCCTTAGCCAACACAAAAATATCAATTTTTCAAGGTCTTAAAATATTACAATGCTTTGTTTACACTAAAACATGTTCACAAAGTCTAAAAACAATTCCTCAGGTGGTCTTGTTTGTAATATTTACGCAGTGCAACGCACACATTGATAAGTGTATAGATATTCTTGGTTCTTTCGGTAAAGTCACGTAGAAGGGAAACAATAAAATAATAAAAATATAAAACATTAAAATTATCACGACGTTTCGACTGCAATACAAGCATTCATCATCAGGTGTGAAAACCACAGCAAGAAAAAAATGATTGCTGTGGTTTTTTATTGTTTCCCTTCTACGTGTCTTTACCGAAAGAACCAAGAATATGAAATCCTGCAGTCACGAAAGCTTTAAATCAAAATTTAAGTGTATAGATGTATTCTACCTGCTTTTGGCCTATGGTTTTTGAGATCTGGCGTTTGTCAAAGAAAATATAAAAACAACACTTGACATATGGTTTCTGAGGCCTGGGAGGTTGTAAAAACAACACTTAAAATATATATGCACGCCAATCTGCATGCTTGGAATAATACTGAGAACCAGGATGTGGAAAGCGTGGATTGGAAAACGCACCATGGGTTCGAGATGTCGCATTGACTGTTGACAAAAAAGTCGGTGGGCTTGGGCAGACGACACTTGGTGATCGAAACTGTCGATTGAGCGAGCGGAAGCCGACCGAGGTAACAGAACCGCGAAGATCAAATCTACCAAAGAGATGGGAGCGTTGAAATCGGCTCGTGCACAGGAGCTACAGACACAGGCTGTGTTTACATTGCAGGACCATGAGATGGTCTCAACTTGTGGGGCCATTTCTCATCAAGTAATAGATTGTTCATGGTTCAGAATAAGATTTCATTGCTTATCTTGAAGAAATCCGATGAGCAATGGAGCTCTTTCGCATGTGTTCAGTCGGAGCGGGTCAGAAATGTTACAACAACAGACAATACAATAAAAACGATAGGCGTGCACAGTACAGAAATAGATAAACAAATCACGAAAACAAATCTAGAAATAGACAAAAACACTTTTTTTATTTTACCAGGTAAAGCCCACTGAGCTATTAGTTCTTTTTCAGAAGGGACCTGGCCACAAATGATAGCTCAACGATGTAGCTTAAACGAAGTAGCTTATCGTGTGGAAATGTATAGCAGCAAAATACTGTCATTTAAACGCTTATTGATGCTGGCCATGACGTCGTCTTTAAAAGGAAAAGCTGTTTCAGTATAGAACACGAACGCTTTAATTACACAAGAAATGTAACCCTCGTCTTATAACGTATTTGCTCAGGAGGATACTGCCATATGGTGTTATAATTTTAGGTATTGATGAAGTTGGCACACTTTTAACTTAAGAAATTACATGTTTCTGAAGCATATGTCCCAGCAAACAGGATAGAATGATTTTTTAAGTATTTTAGGTATTATTGCTATGTTACTTTTCATTAAATCTTGACTTAACTTTTCATTTTTTGAGAATAGGGTTTCCCCTTTTTTCTGGCAACAAAACAGGTGTTAAGATGTTGAAACACCAAACTTTAAACACCAAACTGAAACCTTTTACAAGGAATCATGTCTGCATTAACCACAACACTTGTGGTCAGATTGCAAACAAAAAACGTACTCTGATCATATATGCATTGTCTTTGAAACTGATTGGTCCACACCAGAGACAGCTTTCTTTTGAGCCTCGTCTCAAAACGGTGTTAGACCAGAGGACGCCAAAAGGCGTCACACAGCACAAAGGTCAAGCATTATCAGAGTAATGAGAGCTCGGGGTGAGCATCTACATCATGGGACCTCCTTTGCCAGTACCAAAATATGAGAATAGGCTTTCCCCTTTTTTCTGGCAACAAAACAGGTGTTAAGATGTTAAAACACCGAACTGAAACCTTTTTACAAGGAATCATTATTTACTTTTCATTGTCAAGTTCGGATTTCCAAAAGCACAGAGACCCACTCTCATCTGCCTCTTTTAACGAGTATATCAGTAAACAACCACACGGTCTTACGGGTTAAACACTCAATTAGTATTTCACTTCAGTTTATAATCCAAATCATTATTAAGATTCTGCATTGTCGTATAAACAGCTTAAGGTATTTGCTTTCAACGAAGACTGACAGTTAAAGCTATCCAAGTATATATACTTTAAAATACATATATATTTCTTTCATGTGTTATCTACAACAACATATGTTAAAAGAAAATTTGCCACTGCTAACTTTCTAAAACGATTTAAACACAATAAACGTGGCAGCCCAAACCCTAAGGATCTGACACGTCTCAATTTCCTGAACCCCAATACTGTACGGAACTTGAAAAATAAATAAATATCAGCAAACTGGAGTTTACAAACCCTCGCAACGTATAAGCACGGGGCATGCGCGCCAATTTTTTTTTTACTGTATAAATCACACTACTTTTTTCGGAAAGCAAACTTTAAAACAAGTTTTCAAAAGTAGCGAACTAATGACTTCCCCTACACCGACTAGGCCGCGAGTGAAGCATCGCCGTCTCCTAGTTCGGCTGCGCCTCTGGTCCCTCCCAACCCGGCAGGCCACTCCATTAGACCACTCACCGATATCGGGACGGGGGAAAAAACAATAATCAATTAACTCCCCCTCCAAGTTACACAATGGCAACATCCTCGCATCGCTCCAGCTTGTAACGCCACCCTAATGAACCCATCCGATCTCACAAAACCGCACACCTTTAATTACCACAAAGAACCTCTCACGAGCCTCCGACCAGGCCACAAGTGAAGCACCGACCTCGCCTGCCGAACCCCGCCGAACGAAAGCACACCCTAACCCCGCAAACCAACCCCAGGACAACCACCCCCCCCTCCCCACCCCGTCCACGCAACAACTCTCCCCTCTGTCCCTCTGCCCACCCCGGTGGGACACGGAACCGCCGCAGCCACAGCAGCAGCAGCAACGAGCGACTCACCTCGTCGTCTTTGTGGTTCCGAATGCCTCGCACGAGATCTTGCAGACTCTTGTCGAACATCCTGTCCAGGCTGCCCTTCACGATCTTCAACGCCATGGTCGGTGCTCTCTCTTTCTCTCTCTCTCTCCGTGTGTGTGTGTGGCCGGCCGGCCACGAGGGGGAGAGAGGAGGGCCCCCCCTCTCTCTGTTAAAACGACGGGGATGGCTTCACAGATGACGGACGGCGAGAGTTGCTTCTTCTATAACGTTGGGAACGGGAGAAACTCGCAGCGTAGCGACGGTTGTTGTTATTGTTGTTTGTCAATGAACTTTCTACTGGGGAGAGGGGGGGAAGAGGGCGTACGGTCGACGACAGAAGAGGAGGATGATGAGGCGAAGCTTGTGCGTTTGCTATTCACGGCGCAGACATCGGGGCGGACGCGGGAGTTAACAGAAGTTAAGAGGGCAGGCGGGGAGGGTATCCCAGTGGTTATTAAAGTAACGGGGGGGGGGGGGGGTGTAGTTAAGAGGTTTGTAATCGTACGGAGGGGAGACGCGAGACGCCGTGGTACACCGGGTCACGCGAGTGCATACACGACGGACGGGATTGTCGTGTTTGATAGCGAACCCGACGGCTGCGTAACACGAGCAGCTAAGAAGTTACATCAAGCTCCGGTAATTGTAGTAAAAGTCAATCGATCGCAAGACGCAATCTGCATTACGAGGCGGAGAGGAGGGAAGGGAGGCCAATGATTCTCCCTAAGCGCTGACGGGGGCCCACTTGAACGTGCGCTTCGCTGCAAAATGTGATTAGAACACTGTTTTGTTAACGCAAACCGGTCGCTAGCGATCAACGGGACAAGGAACCAGAGCTTTGCGATATTGTTTCTTCCAACAGCGAGTCGGAGTGAAACCACCACGCATTGGATGAGGCAACTAAGGCGGCGGTCGGTAACAACAAGAGATGGGTGTTGCTGTCAATGGACCGGGATACACTCTACCCGGGAACACGAGACCCGAGTTCTGAAGTTCGAGGAGTGTTTGGGCGACTCTCGTCGGCAGAGCCGACAACTTAGCAACGGCGATAGAAGGAGAGCGACGATGCTGAGGAGCGGAGTTGGCAACCAGGTTTGCAGTGACAATGAAGAAGAAGAAGAACGTGGGTTTGTCCCACGCGGATTAATGCAGCCAGCCGGACCGAATCTCTTGCTCCCCCCACCAACCCCCACTGGATTCCTCCTGCTGCTGCCCCCTCAGCTGGTGCCCGCTCCCCCTTCACAGATGTTGTTGCTGCTGCTGCCCCTCAGCTAGTGCCCGCTCCTCCTTCACAGATGTTGCTGCTGCTGCCCCTCAGCTAGTGCCCGCTCCTCCTTCACAGATGTTGCTGCTGGTGCCCGCTCCTCCACAGATGTTGCTGCTGCTGCCCCCTCAGCTGGTGCCCGCTCCTCCTTCACAGATGTTGCTGCTGCTGCTGCCGCCCCCTCAGCTAGTGCCCGCTCCTCCTTCACAGATGTTGCTGCTGGTGCCCGCTCCTCCTTCACAGATGTTGCTGCTGCTGCTGCCCCCTCAGCTGGTGCCCGCTCCTCCTTCACAGATGTTGCTGCTGCTGCTGCCCCCTCAGCTAGTGCCCGCTCCTCCTTCACAGATGTTGCTGCTGCCCCCTCAGATGGTGCCCGCTCCTCCTTCACAGATGTTGTTGCTGGTGCCCGCTCCTCCTTCACAGATGTTGCTGCTGCTGCTGCCCCCTCAGCTGGTGCCCGCTCCTCCTTCACAGATGTTGCTGCTGCTGCTGCCCCCTCAGCTAGTGCCCGCTCCTCCTTCACAGATGTTGCTGCTGCCCCCACAGCTGGTGCCCGCTCCTCCTTCACAGATGTTGTTGCTGGTGCCCGCTCCTCCTTCACAGATGTTGCTGCTGCTGCCCCCACAGCTGGTGCCCGCTCCTCCTTCACAGATGTTGCTGCTGCCCCCACAGCTGGTGCCCGCTCCTCCTTCACAGATGTTGCTGCTGCTGCAGTGAAGATGGCGCGGGGCGGAGGCGCCAGTCAGCTGATGCCGGTCGCGTCAGCAGCCGCGAGTCTCACGGGGTGGGGTGGGGGGGGTGAGTGGGGGGGGGTGAGAGGGGGGTGGGGTCACGCCAATCCACCTCTCACGGGCGTGATAACCTCTGGGATTCTCACGCATCTCACGGGCGTGAGTGTCTGGGCATCTCACGCATCTCACGGGCGTGAGTGTCTGGGCATCTCACGCATCTCGCGGGCGTGAGACCCATTGGGCATCTCACGCATCTCACGGCCGTGAGTGTCTGGGCATCTCACGCATCTCACGGGCGTGAGTGTCTGGGCATCTCACGCATCTCGCGGGCGTGAGACCCATTGGGCATCTCACGCATCTCACGGCCGTGAGTGTCTGGGCATCTCACGCATCTCACGGGCGTGAGTGTCTGGGCATCTCACGCATCTCGCGGGCGTGAGACCCATTGGGCATCTCACGGCCGTGAGTGTCTGGGCATCTCACGCATCTCGCGGGCGTGAGACCCATTGGGCATCTCACGGCCGTGAGTGTCTGGGCATCTCACGCATCTCACGGGCGTGAGTATCTGGGCATCTCACGCATCTCACGGGCGTGAGTGTCTGGGCATCTCACGCATCTCGCGGGCGTGAGACCCATTGGGCATCTCACGCATCTCACGGCCGTGAGTGTCTGGGCATCTCACGCATCTCACGGGCGTGAGTGTCTGGGCATCTCACGCATCTCGCGGGCGTGAGACCCATTGGGCATCTCACGGCCGTGAGTGTCTGGGCATCTCACGCATCTCACGGGCGTGAGTATCTGGGCATCTCACGCATCTCGCGGGCGTGAGACCCATTGGGCATCTCACGCATCTCACGGCCGTGAGTGTCTGGGCATCTCACGGGCGTGAGTGTCTGGGCATCTCACGCATCTCGCGGGCGTGAAACCCATTGGGCATCTCACGCATCTCACGGCCGTGAGTGTCTGGGCATCTCACGCATCTCACTTGCGTGAGTGTCTGGGTATCTCACGGGCGTGAGACCCATTGGGCATCTCACTTGCGTGAGTGTCTGGGCATCTCACGGGCGTGAGACCCTCTGGACATCTCGCACTTATCAAGGGCTTGAGACCTGTGGGCATCTCACAGGCGTGAGTCTCTGGGCATCATCTCACGGGTGTGAGACGGAGGCTTCTCACGCATCTCACGAGCGTGAAACTGGGAATCTCGCGGGCACGAGTCTGGGCATCTCACGGGCGTGAGACTGGGCTTATCACGCATCTCACGGGCGTAATTATCTGGACATCTCACGGGCGTGAGACTGAGCTTATCACGCATCTCACGGGCGTAATTATCTGGACATCTCACGGGCGTGAGACTGGGCTTCTCGTGCATATCACGGGCGTGATATTGAGCGTCTCAATGGCGTGATTCGGGACACCTCACGGCCGTGAGATTTCAAAGCATCTCGAGCGCATCACGGGCGTGCGATTCATGAATCTCACGCATCTCATGGGCGTGAGCCTCTGGGCATCTCACGGGCGTGAGACTTAAAGACATCTCACGTCAGAGACCAACATATCTCACGGGGGTTATTAGACTCACGAATCTCGTCTCACAAGCGTGAGAGTTTAAATATTTTATTCTCACACACGATTGTACCGTATGTACTTCGTACCTAATCAATGGAATTGATTTCCCACTCTTCTCAATTCACACGACTCCCCTCCCACGCCCGGCCTAGATTGAAAACTAATTTATGTAGAACTGATTTAAAGCTTTCGTGACTGCAGTAATTCATATTCGTAGCTCTTTCGGTAAAGTCACGTTGAAGGGAAACAATAAAATAATAAAATAAATATAAAACTATAACAAAAATCTCACGACGTTTCGACCATAACACAAACGGTCGTCATCAGGTGTGGCGGTTTGCATTAATTTATTTATTTTTGAACGGTGTTTTTATTTATATAAAAAACGTCAGCGCCACGCGCTGACTTTACCGAAAGAGCTGCTTTGTGTGTTTCGCACGGTTGGCCACGCACGTACGGAGAAGCCACTGCTTTGAGTTTCAGCCTATTTTAAATTTCAACACGGATGATCCCGTTTAGCCAGTTTCTCGGCTGCCTTACAAGGGAAATCCGTGGTGCGTACGCAGAGCAGCAACGACGACAAACATGCAATCACATAAATATTGCAGAGAACTCGGACTATTGTACAACGAGCGAACGAGGTATTTGGGCGGTCTTAAACCAAACACGCGCCAATAAAACAAAGTGCAAATATAAGGTTATAGTAAAAGGCGCAATAAAAAATAAAGTGACAGGTTTTGCAAGTAAACTGGTTGGTGCAAGCTCAAGTCACCCTCTGCTGCAACTGCCCGCCGTCAATCCGCTGCTGTACGAAAGCCATAACACCTTAAACAAAGCGACTTCAACCCGGGATGAAGCTTGGTAGATCTGAATAGAGTTCAAAAGAACTCGCAACGCAGAATGTCCCTGGGGTTTGATCTTGCACCAAGCTCATGGTCCACCATAAATCGCACCTGCTTCACAAAGCATTGCAGATGGACATGCCTAATGCACAAATGGAAAATTAAAAACTCTTTTAAGTGCGCGACTTTGGTCATCCAGAACAAACCCTACAACATGCCGTGCTCCACCAATGCGAAGGAGACATCACAGCGATCCACTGCGCTTACGTCTGACGCGGTTGTCTGGCTTGGCTACCTGAATGTGAAATTGTAGTTGCTGCTCTGCCATTTACATCAGCAGCCATGCGAAACAAGAATAGGACACGTTCTATAGTGCCGTTGATTTCTGGCCGCTTGGTGTTGAGTGGAGGGGGGGTTTACAAAGCAACTGATTTGAATAAAAAAACATAAGTACATACCTTTCAACCCCTTATTAGTGTTTACCTTATTACAGACCAATTCAGACCTTGTTGGTCTCCCCATGCCCCTTATAAATCTCAACGTTCATCCTACAAAGTCCCATCACAAGAGGAGAAACACAAACAAATAAGCAATTACCACTACAATCCTCACCACTAGTACACTCACCACTAAACTCACCACCAGTACACTCACCACTACATACCCGTCAACCCCTTATCAGTGCCTACCATATTACAGACCACTTCAGACCTTGTTGATCTCCCCGTGCCCCTTATAGATCTCAACGTTCATCCTACAAAGTCCCATCACAAGAGGAGAAACACAAAACAATTGCCGGCATTCAAACGGCTGCACGCCGTATGGACATGAAAACTCAATTTCCCTGTACAAGAATACTGACAAACCGTATGGGTTAAATCTTGACTTAACGCTTTCGTGACTGCAGGAATTCATATTATTTGAGTCTTTCGGTAAAGTCACGTAGATAGGTTCAAATGAAATAACGAAAAACTACGACGTTTCGATCGCAACCCAAGCGGTCGTCATCTCAGACTGGAAAAAAAATTCAAAAAAACTTTTTCAGCCTGATAACGACCGCTTGCGTTGCGATCGAAACGTCGTAGTTTTTTTGTTATTCTTGTTATTTTCTTTGAACCTATCTACGTGACTTTTACCGAAAGACCCAAAGAATATCAAACCGGGTTGTTTAACCATACTTCGCCTTGCCGGTCAGTATCGACGTTGGAGCACGAGACTTGCAATGCATATTGTGCTGCACTGCCCTCTGCCGACAAAGTAGCCTCCAAGCACCAATAAAAAAGTATACGTTAAATATTAATATTCTTGGTTCTTTCGGTAAAGTCACGTAGAAGGGAAACAATAAAATAATAAAAATCTATAAAATTCTCACGACGCTTCGACTGCAACACAAGCAATCATCATCAGGTGTGAAAACCACAGCAAGAAAATTTGAAAAAAGTGGCGGTTTTTTTACGTTAGCACCACGGAGAGCGATGTGGCAGTTATTCAGATGGACGAGTCCATCTATTTTGATTTAAAGCTTTCGTGACTGCAGGGATTCATATTCTTGGTTCTTTCGGTAAAGTCACGTAGAAGGGAAACAATAAAATAATAAAAATATAAAACGATAAAATTCTCACGACGTTTCGACTGCAACACAAGCAGCAATCATCATCAGGTGTGAAAACCACAGCAAGAATTTTTTTAAAAAGTGGCGGTTTATTTTTAACGTTAGCACCATGGAGAGCGATGTGGCAGTTATTCAGATGGACGAGTCCATCTATTTTGACTTAAAGCTTCCGTGACTGCAGGGATTCATATTCTTGGTTCTTTCGGTAAAGTCACGTAGAAGGGAAACAATAAAATAATAAAAATATAAAACGATAAAATTCTCACGACGTTTCGACTGCAACACAAGCAGCAATCATCAGGTGTGAAAACCACAACAAGAAAATTTGAAAAAAGTGGCGGTTATTTTTAACGTTAGCACCACGGAGAGCGATTTGGCAGTTATTCAGATGGACAAGTCCATCTCTGTTCGGAAAAGAGGAGTGGGGAGACGAAAGTAATGGATGCGGTCTGAAAGCCACCGTAAGCATAAACAATCAACTAAGACCCGAAATGGTTGATCAAATCCTTCCAATGATTGCTAAGCCAGAATCCATCTTCTCGGTTGAAATGTCTCTGTGTTTGTATATGTGGATAGCCTCATGGACGAATCTCTCATGGTAGCCAGATGGCTTGCAAAGAACCTCTGTCTTGGAGAAGTCAATGTCATGTGAGCCTACTGAATTATAACAGTGATCTGCCATGGCCGAGGTGTTGGTCCTACCGTGTTTTAGGTCTGCTTTGTGTTCACGAATGCGGTCTGAGACATGTCGTTTGGTTTCTCCAATGTAACTACTACCTCATGCCACGCAAACAAGCGCATGAGCGGCGCAGATAAACTTTTCCCCCTTGGTAAGATGGCGGCCGCTAAGCTATAAATCAGCCCCAAGTACTGTACTGAAGAAGCTTGATTCCATCTATCACTCGGCCTTAAGATTTGCATTGAACTGCCCATATAGGACTCACCACTGTGATCTCTACATTGGGTAAAACTTAACATCTCTTAATGTTCGACGGCTTGTGCACCAGATCTTATTTATTCACGATGTACTTACAAAAAAATCCGCAGACTACCTACTGGATCTCCTCTCTGTTTCAAAGAACAAATTTGACCTCAGGTCTTCGCTCATCTACCAGCTTCACATTCCCTATTGCCGTACAAAAACCGGAGGAAAGGCCTTTGCTATTGATGCCCCCAGGGTCTAGAATGCTATTGCCAATAAACTGCAACTTGAATCACTACCTATGAGATCTTCACTCAAAACTGCTCTAGAGGAGTTGTACACCCCTAGCTGCCACTGCTATTCAGTGGCCTAAAATATGGCTCTAGATCAGGGGTGGGCAAATTTCTTGACTCGCGGGCCACAATGGGTTCTAAAATTTGACGGAGGGGCCGGGCCAGGAACAGATGGATGGAGTGTTTGTGTGAACTAATATAAATGACATGTAAACATCATTACATGAAACGATTTGGCCTTTAACAGGTAGCAAAGCATTTATTTGCAAGACAATTTAACAAATTGCACGAACATGAACAATACAAAAACATATTCTTAGCTCTTTCGGTGACTTTACCGAAAGAGCTAAGAATATGAATTACTGCAGTCACGAAAGCTTTAAATCAAAATTTAATACAAAAACATGTCGTAACTCCCGGTCAAAGTGCGCCATCTAATGGGGAAATGGGGGCATTACAGGAGAAAGGTAAAATTTTACTTACTAATAATAATATTTGGACAAGGTCGGCGGGCCGGATTAAAAAGCCCAACGGGCCGTATAGGGCCCGGGGGCCGTACTTTGCCCATGTCTGCTCTAGATTTTGGTGTTATAATTAATTTATGTAGTTTATTGTTAAAAATTCGGTCACAGTCCCTATGATCACTTGTTACATTGCATTTATGGCTTTTATTTTGGTGATTTCGAAAACGTTTTTTTTTTGGCCATGTTTTTGTTTATTGTAGTACGGAGTTAGACTGATGGCCTTAATCTTAGTTGTCTTGTGGTTGTTGTTGTTGTTATTTGACTTGCATCCCACTGGGATTTTTGCACACAGCGTTGGTGTACGGTGCTATTTCATGAATATTTTGATTGTTTTTTTCCTGGATTTTCTGTTTGCACAGTCACATAATCACTTTAGGATTGTTTTCTTGTTCATGTTTTTTGTTTGTTGAGGTTGCACCCGATTCAAGAGCCGAACGGCTTACAGGGCTATACCAAATAAATAAACTATGAAGCACCCACCCCTTGGTAAGATGGCGGACGGTCTTTCCCTTCTCCATTGGTAAGATGGCGGACGGTCTTTCCTTTCCTCTCCCTTGGTAAGATGGCGGCCGCTAAGCGGACGGTATTTCCCCCCTTGGTAAGATGGCGGCCTCTGCGACCGTCTTCCTCCCCCTTAGTAAGATGACGGACTATAAGCGGTCACACCCCTTGGTAAGATGACGGACTACAAGCGCCACCCCTTCCGAACACCCCCTTGGTAAGTTTGCGACCGCTAAGCGAACGGTTTAGTCCCACCACCCCCCCCCCCCCTGGTAAGATAGCGGCCTCTAAGCGTACGGTCTATTCCTCCCCACCCCCCCTTGGTAAGATGGCGGCCGCGTTGCTCATCGTCCTCCATCACCCGCGCGGTGGGGGGTGATGGTGGTGAGGAGGAGTGGTGGGGGAGGGGAGGGGAGGTGCAGGCGGAAAAGGCGCGGCCGCGTAGGATTATCATCGTTCGTGGCTGTTGCGTGGAGAAGGAAGGAGGCGAGTAAGCGAGCGAGCAGAGAGGAGATATAACGAGAGAAGAGAGGAAGAGATAAAGGAAGGAAGGAGGAGGAGGACGAAGAGGAGGACTAAGAGATGTCGAACAACGCGGGCAGCATCTCGGCCATGCGGCGGCTTGTGGAGCAGCTTCGCGTTGAGGCGAGCATGGAGCGAGTGAAGGTGCGGCCCTGAGTTTCGTCATTCGCGGTTAACTTTACTTCTTCACACTTTACCAGGTGATTGTACCACCCCCTCCTCGCCCCTCGCCAAATGAGGCTGTGAACGGTATAGCTATTTTTTTTTAAAGAAGCGACCTGGCAAGTCACAATTTGAGAGTTCAACGAAGTGTGGCTCATCGTCGTGTGAGCATGTATAAGCAGCAGTAGCCATATGAACTTAAACTATATATTTTTTACCAGGTACGGGTACCCCCCCCACCAACTGAGGCGATATTGCGCTGTATATTTTTTTTTGTCCCCAAGAAGCGACCTGGCCACCAATAATTTGATAGCTCAACGAAGTGGGCGCACATCGTCGTCACGTGTAAATGTATAGCCAAGTAACTCTAAACGAGTGATGCTGATTCTAAACGAGTGATGTTGATTCTAAACGAGTGATGTTGATTCTAAACGTGGAGGGAAAATCCGCGGGGGTGGTCGGGGGGGTGAAAGATAGAGACGCAGCGAACTACAAATGTACAGAGCCGGGCGTTCAGTTGTCGGGATCGCGAACCCCACGACCTTTCCCCTGGGGGGCCCGTCCCTTGTGAACCTTTCCCCTGGGGGGCCCCTCCCTTGTGAACCGGTCCCCTGGGGGCCCCTCGTGAACCAGTCCCTGGGGGGCCCCTCCCTTGTGAACCGGTCCTGGGGGGCCCCTCGTGAACCAGTCCCTGGGGGGCCCCTCCCTTGTGAACCGGTCCCTTGGAGGGCCCCTCGTGAACCAGTCCCTGGGGGGCCCCTCGTGAACCGGTCCCCTGGGGGGCCCCTCCCTTGTGACCGGTCCCCTGGGGGGCCCCTCGTGAACCAGTCCCTGGGGGGCCCCTCCCTTGTGAACCGGTCCCCTGGGGGGCCCCTCGTGAACCAGTCCCTGGGGGGCCCCTCCCTTGTGAACCGGTCCCCTGGGGGGCCCCTCCCTTGTGACTGGTCCCCTGGGGGGCCCCTCGTGAACCAGTCCCTGGGGGCCCCTCCCTTGTGACCGGTCCCTGGGGGGCCCCTCCCTTGTGAACCTGTCCCCTGGGGGGCCCCTCCCTTGTGAACCTGTCCCCTGGGGGGCCCCTCCCTTGTGAACCGGTCCCTGCCCCCCACCCTTACCCTCGGTCGACTTGGCCTCAACTGAGTACCCTCATGTGATGTGTGTGGGGGTTGGGGGGGAAATTGGGGATTCAAACGCGGCCGGGCGTGCGTGCGTTTGCCTGGCCCTCGCCACGGCCCTCGCCACGGCCCTCGTGTGGCCACCCCCGTTGCGGCCATCCCAAGAGGTGCTGACGGTAGCGCTTTGCCCTCCAAAACAACATTCCGTCAAAAGACGATACGGGGGGGTGGGGGCTAGCTTTGTGTAATTGTCATCGGCCGTGGTCTATCCACCGCTGGATGGATGATGCCTTCCTTGCTGTGGCTAGGGTGGGGGGGTTTCAAACTTCATAACTGTCAACCACCTTAACAGTGCTGCCTACCTTATTACAGACCAATGCAGACCTTATTGATCACCCCGTGCCCCTTATAAATCTCAACGTTCATCCTACAAAGTCCCATCACAAGGGAGACGCACAAATAGACGATTGTGGTTTTTGTTTTGCCCGTATTGAAACGGCTGTACGTCGTATGGACCTGATAACTCAATTTCCCTGTACAAGTATAAGGTGTAAACCGTATGTGTTGAAAGGTATGCTATGCACTACACTATACACTACATTATACACTACACTTTACCATACATGTCAACCCCTTATCGGTGCCCTACCTTATTACAGACCAATTCAGACCGTGTTGGTCACCCCGTGCCCCTTGTATCTCTCAACGCTCATTATACAAAGTCCCATCACAAGGGAGAAACACAAACACATGGACACATTTTTTTTGCATTGTATTTTTATACGGCTGGACCTGAAAACTCAATTTCCCTGGACAAAAGTTACGGGGTTAACCGTATGGGTTGACAGGTATGCTGTCCCTATCACTATCCTTAGCACTATCCCTATCTGACATACATGTCAACCCCTTATCAGTGCCCCTACCTTATTACAGACCAATTCAGACCTTATTGGTCACCCCATGTCCCCTTATAAATCGCAACATTCATCCAACAAAATCCCATCACAAGGGAGAAATAAACAAATATATAGGTTTTTTTACCGTATAGACCTGAACTCAGTTTGCCTGAACAGGACTACGGGATAAACCGTATGGGTTGACAGGTATTAAACTTAGGTGGTTTTACAGTCCGGTTGTGCTAACCACTGCAGCTTCTGTTTAATTAGCTAAATATTTTACAATACTACGTGACTACCGTAGTAACACATTCCTGCGGAGGGAGCTGGTAGGAACGTTGGGTTGCTCGGTCAGTGGCCAGGGTCAACAACGGCGGCACCACGTGGTGTATTCTGCAAATATGCCCGACTGTGAGGGCGGGCACAAGCCGGCGTGAGTAGGTTAAACGTTGAGTTTTATAAGGGCACCACGGGGTGACCAGGCCCTCCCCACCCCTTAAAATTTACTCCATACACAACAACAGACGCCACTAAGTAGCGGTGACATCACCACGGCGCTGGTGCCAGGCTAGGTGCACTTTGAGGCCACGTGAAGTGTCGAAGGCCTGCTGGCAGGAGATCACGGGACAGAGCCACCTGCCATGGGTCGACTGACTGAGATGAATGGCCGATGCACCACCTGTGCCCCCTACTGTCCCAACTTGCTGTGTTTTAGCCGCCCGGCGCTCCGCTCGTTGTTGTGAGCGTCGCTCCTCTGCCCTCCGTTGTTCTTGGAGGGCGACTCCCTCCAACTGCCCAGTAGCGTCCTTTACGAGCCTCCTCCATACACACACCATACACTGCACATCATACACCACACACCCTACGTACAACTACCCTGTATAAACATACACATCTGCTTTAACCACGAAAGCCTCAAAGACTTTAATTTGGCCTCCTGCATTGGGATGTTTGCTTAATATCACCCTCTGCTGAGCGTTCTTCCAGGTACCCCGAGCACTCGCGTTGCACCTCGCACGCAAACGTTGGTCGTCACACGACCTTTCTCCGGGCACTCCGGTTTCCTCCCAGACGAAGTAAATTCACAACATCGGCTGGCCGGCCAGCATCGGCCACCAGCGGCGGCGGCGGGGACGCTCTCGTCATCCTATCGAGAGCGTAAACTGCTCAAATTGGTCCCTGAAGAAGCTCGTCGATTGAAACGTCGGACGCATCGCGTCGAACAACAACCGCAAAGCACATTGGAGAGCTGTTCACCTCAACGGCAAAAACCTAGGCAGTAGTTCCGTTAATTATAAATATATTCGGATAATCTCGCATATAACCCAGATAATACCCACCACCCATACCGGGGAATAATGCAGAGACGGAGTTGTGAATCCCTTTGCTGCCCTGCCACCTCGCAGCCTTGCGGGGATGCTCGTCTCGCAGCTCGTGATGGATGAATCTCGGCGTGATCCGTTAACCCTGCTTTCCCAAAGCGCTGGAACGCATGCGCGCTGCACCACGCCAGGCCAAGGCTCGGTGTTTAGTTTGGTTCACATCGGCAGTAGTAATACGTGGCTTGAGACGGCGCCAGTCTTAAGTGTTCTTTCCATATATTGTTTGTTGTCTTGCTTCCCAATTTTGTTCCAATTGTGCTATATCAGTGTCATGTACCGAGATACAAATTTAGGATTATCACAGCGCAGTGTACAGCCCCACTGTTGTAGATTACCACCCACAGATGCCGGTGTCGCAGAACTGCTGTCTGAGAATCCTTCAAGTGATTTCTGGTCCACACAGTATGGAGGGCAGCAATTTTTATGCTCCGCTTTCTCGTTTCATTAATCTTTGTGATGTTCATGCTTTGCGTGGATGGTCACATCGCAGAGGCACCGATGCTGACGACACAGGGAGGGACCTCATCCAGCATTGGATTAATCGTGGATGATGATGATGATGAGGAGCTGTTTGTTCTGATTTGTGTCTTGCTTTATGCACGGCGGCTCCGTTACCAAGGCCTGAAAGTGAACGTGAAATGGCGCCTTACCTGCTGCGCCGAGAATGAAACTCGAGGCGGAAACGCAGAGTGGCAGCGGTGCCATGAGATGGTGGCGCTCTCTCATTGAGGCTTGATGGAATTATCACCGCACTGACTGGTCCGACAAGTTCTAATCTCTCCCCGTTCTGTTCCATCGACCGCCCAGAATCTAAACTAGCGAGGCGCTTGTATATATGTTGAACTTCTTTCGCACCGTACGTAGCCAACCGGAGGTGCGGGGGAAGGACAACAAACTAAACATAAAAAGCAGTTCTAAAGAAATTAGTTTTGAGTCTAGATTTAAAGCGCATTGCTCCAGTTGCTTCTTAATGTCGGAAGGGTGAACCTTCCAGACGGCCGCAGAAGCGCATCTGAAAGCGCCGGATGCGGTGACCGTCTTTGTTTCATGGCTAGACAAAAGCCGTTGCGAGAATGGCTGGCGTTCACGTGATGGGTTATGCTCCTTAACAAGATCAGCAAGGTATCGTGGTTCATTTATGGCAAGCACTATGTGCTTAAACAGTGCGACCTTTATAATGTATTTGTACGGCAACCGGAAGCCGATGCAGGCGAGCACTTAATGGACATGGTGGGATCTTGCAGTACCCGTCATGACACTTGCCAGAGAATGTTGTACACGCTGCAGCTTGGTCATGTTTTTTTGCCAGACGTCCCGTAGAGTAGCGAGTTGCAATAATCGAGCATTGAGCCACACCGTGTTTTCTTTAAGGCCGAAGCAAATTATTAAATAGATTGTATAAAATAAAACATCGATATATTCGAGCGGCCGGTTGACTCGGTGGGTGGAGCACTGAGCTGGCAACGCTGAGCTCCAAGATTTAAATCGAAGCGGCCCACAGGATTAAACCAGTGTCTCGGGTGTAGTGGGTTGAGGGTCTCGGCCCGATCGCCAATGACTTCACTAAAAAAAAACACCACGTAAAATTTCGTTCAACACTTAATTTGCCCAAATTATAGCCACAAATACAATTCAAATATCAGCTTTATTGCAATGTGATGAACGTTACTCTTATATGTGGTGGGGTGGGTAGGAATGTGCTGCCCTCTTACTGTGTGGATCATATGTCACTTGAAGGGATCTCTAAACTAAACTATTATATGTTACCAGGTAAGGTTCACTGCGCTATATAGCTCTTTTTTCAGAAGCGACCTGGCTATCACAAACGATAGCTCGACGAAGTGGCTTATCGTGTGGAAATTTATCGCAGCTAAATACTCTTAAACGCGTGTTTCTAAATGTGGAGATGAAAAATCGGAGGACCCGGGGAAAAATCCATGTGACCACGAGGAGAACGTGTAAGCTCCAAATATACAGGCGTCAGGGTCGGGATCGAACCCATGGCCTCCTGTTGTTTACCAGGCGATGGGTGCCACGGTGGCGAGATCTCGGAGGTAGCTCTGTAATTCCTGCTTCCGTGGGCCTGCACGAGGCCGACCACAGAAGCACGCCCAGCGTGGTGCAGTTGCGCAAGCGATGACATCACCGGTAAGATGATGTCATCGCCTCCATTGGAGACCCAAACATCCCACCTCCTTTCCTGGCTTAGGCATTCCTCCTCGACACGACTGTAAAAACCATCAGCCGCATCAGAACATCATCAACAGGCCAATGCACACATCCTTCGTGAATGGAAAATTGTAGACAAGCCGCAGTAGTGCTATTGTGGCCATGCAACCCAAACCATGGACCATACAATAAACCTCTGCACTCTGTGCTCCTCCTGTGGAAGAATGGGGAAAAATTACGTGAACTATCTCCTGACTTCGTTATGGCCAGCAGACCTCCACGTTGGCATTTTAGCTCCCGAACATATTTCAATCTTGCGCAACAATAGATTCCGTAATGATTGACGGTGACATTCCATTTAAATCCCGCACCTCGAACATAACCGAAGCAATTGTTTGGGAAGCTGATGGTTTATTTGATTACTCGATAGTTGCATCTCTGGTTCTCTCTCTCTCTCTGCTGGACACTTTGGTTTCTTGCAAGCTTGTAATGCGGCGCTCTATAGGCGGGGTCGGTGGATCGCGCGCAGATCACCGTGCGTGAGGTTCGGGCACTCGTTTCAGGCTCGGTTGACTTCTGAGCGAGTCGCCCGCTGTGTGCTCATTTGCGGCGTATTCACGTCGTGACGGCCTCGGACCTGACCTCGTACCCCGGAAGCTAAGCCCGGAGTTGAGCCTGGATAGTACTTGAATGGGTCGGTGGAATCGTGCGTCAACTCGTTACCCTGGGTCAAGGGTCGGCAAGTGAAATAACAAGAAGAGCCATTTGTTTGGAATTTGGTCAACAAAAAAGCTACCATTCTCTAGGTCAGTGATAAAAAAAACAATGAGACGCATTCGTCAGTAACATTGCGTGCGGCCTTAAAAGGATAAAATAGGCAACGTTTCGGTCGATGTCCCTTCGTAATGGTTGGTGGGTTCTTAACCTGGGGTGCACGCACCCCCTGGGGGTGCGAGACATGGCCAGATTTTTTTAGAAGGAAAATTATCAAACACAAATTAAGCACAGACACTTAAGTAACAACTACTTTGTTTCTTCAAAGCTATATATTTATTGACTTTTTTTTTTACGATTCACAACCAAAGGAGTGCAGGCTGCAGTAAAGGTTAAGAGCCACTGCGCTCGAGTCTAGAACTTGGCACTACCGATGAGCATTGTTGACTACATACGGTGCGAAAGAAGCTAAACTTATGCGTACATACATCAGCACAAACTGAATACAAAAAGCAGTTCTCCAGAAATTGGTTTTCAATCTAGATTTAAAAGTGCGTAGCTTCAGCGGCTTCCTAATATCGAAAGGAAGAGCGTTCCAGACGGCCGCAGAAACGCATCTGATAGCGGCCGATGCAGTGACCGTGTTTGTAACAATAACACAGAGATAGGGGGGGCGATGACGTCACACGACACTGCCGAGGCGAAGGAGAGGGGGTGACGTCGCCTCGTGAGATTGGGGTGAGGTGGAGGAAAGGAGTGACGACGTTTGAAATGATCAGTTTATGAAATCATCATCATTGTCTCCGCATATTTGCCATCCTTTTTCCGCACCAGTTCCGCGGGTTCCCGCGAGTAACAATGCCGGTGCGAATGCTGCGGCACGCTGCCGCTGACGCTGCTGCTGACGCTGCTCGGGAGCGGTGGTGTAGCGGTGAGCGCTACGCTGCGCTACAAACTCGGCGACCCGGGTTCGATTCCCGCTCACGGCCAACACCCAGTGACCATTATCTGAACCGGTCCTGGGCCTCCCCTAGGTCGACTCGGCCTCAAATGAGTACCTGGTGCGATGTGTAAACAACCGCCGCTAGGGAGACAAAGGCGGCCGGGCGCGGTTGCTGGCCGCCCACCCCCCTCCGTGTGCCGTGCCAGCCTTTTGCAGGTGATGCTCGCTAACAGCACTTGCCCCTACAGTCCGTTGAGGCTACACGGGGTGCATCTTTGTTTTTGCTGTTGCCGCAGGTGTCGCAGGCGGCCGCGGAGCTGCAGCAGTACTGCCTCCAGAACGTGCACAAGGACGCGCTGCTCACGGGCGTCCCTGCTGCAACCAACCCGTTCCGCGAACCGCGCTCCTGCACCGTGCTCTAGGGCGCCACGCTGCAACGCGCACGGAACGTGCGTACCTTGGCGCGCACGCTGCACGCGCGCACTAGTGCATGAACGCGCGGTCGTACGCACGCACACATGCGATATGAATCGATAAATATTTTGTTGGTCAAGGGGAGGGAAAAGGAGATAACATGGAGAGGAAGTGTCCTTCTAAAGCGGCGGTATCGTCACGAATGATGTGTCCGAGTTTGTCATTCGCCCGCACTGGGCTTGTATTTTGTAATTCGTTGAAAGCACCGCCTCGCCGGGAGAAATCCATGCCACAGCAATGAAACCACCGTGGGTTTCTGAGTTCGAACGTTGGCCCGAACAGACGCGCACCGTGTAACCTGACCCGTCTGGGAAGCGGTGTAGTGGTTAACGCGCTGCGCCATGGACCTGGATAAACCCGAGTTCGATTCTCGCTCACGGCCAACACCGGTGACGATTATCCGAACCGGTCCTGGGCCCTCCCAATCGTTCGACTCGGCCTCAAATGAGTACCTGGTGCGGTGTGTAACCATCGGCAATGGGGGGAGACAAAGGTGGCTGGGCACGCTACTGGCCACCGACCCCTCGTGTGCCGTTCCGGCCTTCACAGGTGCTCGCTAACAGCACTTGCCCCAACAGTCTGTTAAGGCTACACGGGGAGGGGGGGGGGGAATCTTTATTTGTTTTCTTTAAAAAAATGTTTTTGTCTTTTCAGACTGTGATGTTGCCATCTCCCGCGACTTACAGACAGACGTCCGCAAACAAGTTTACAAGACTCCGGAATCCAGCCTTTCCCAGGGTGGGGACCACTCCGGGATTTTGACAGCGCCAGAGCTTCGCGAAATCATGCTTCCCTTTTCTATAAAACGCACGCGGACGCACACACACGCACACACACACACACGCACGGTAGCACTGGCAGCGATGAACGTACGCAACCGGCTGCCCCCCACCAAACAGCCCCCACCCTCCTCATCCTCCTATTGCCCACGGTGCCATTTTCACACGACCAGCACGGCCGGTGTGTTCTCGTCAATTTTTTTTTTTTACGAATGAAGTCTAAAACGACGCGTTTCTTAGCCAGTGTGATTTTTTTGAACGGATTTTTATCTTTAAGTTGACTGACGGACACCCCCGCTAGAAGAACCAAAATAAAATCGCCAGGGTGGGGGGGGGAGCCGATCCCTTCTTCTGCTGCAGAGGTTTTTGTTTTGTTAAAATAAAGGTTTGTGCGTTTTCAGAGTTTGACATCACTGGTGCTGCCATCATGCGATTTTCTTGTACTTGGGGGCGACAATTCCGCGATTTTAGTTTTTTACGTCGGGGTGGGCGGGGGGTGGGGGATTGCTTCGAATGCAGGATTTTAAATTTAACGTGCGGTGCCTGTTAAAGTGCGGTTGCTTGCGTCGTGCGCATTGGCGTGAGGTCGTGGTGGTGTACGTGTTTGCGGCGAGCGGCAAGTCCGGTCGTTGGCGCACTGCGCTACAAAGCCCGGCGACCCGAGTTCGATTCCCGCTCACCACCGTCGATGTTGGTGAATGTTCTCAATCAGTCCTGGGCCCTCTACCTAGGACGCCTCGGCCTTAAATAAAGTGCCCGGTGTGGTTTGTAAACATCAGCACTGGGGAGACAAAGCCAGCCCGGATGTGGTGTTGGTCACCCACCTCCTTGTACACCGTGCTGACCTTAAATAGGTGTTCACTTAAGGCTTCTGCCAACAGTCTATTGAAGGCTATACTGGGGATCTTGGTTCGTATGTGTGGCACAAGTGTGTTTGAGCGTGCCGGTAATTTCGCTGTGTGGGTCTTTGCTTGTTAATGTTCCAAGGTGGAAGGGTTACCAGCCCATTGCACCCATCCAGAGCCGTCGCTATACACACAAAAAACAGACCTCAAGAAATTAGTTTTCAATCTAGATTTAAAAGTGCCTGGCTTCCTAATATCGGAAGGGAAGAGCGTTCCAGACGGCCGCAGAAGCACATCGTAAAGCGCGACATGCCAGCGACCGCCTAGGTTCGGATGGCCAGCCAAAAGCCGCCGCCGCTGCTGCTGCGAGGATGACTGGAGATTGCGAACTGGAGCAGTGCAGCAAAATCTCACCGCTTGCTGAAGGTTTCCACGTCGGGTCTCGGGGTGCGGTCCTTGACCGACACTCCACTGCTATTCCCCCCCCACGTCTCGTACGTGCCACGATTGTACAATAACCACGTCGCCACGTCGAGCGGTGTACAATGCACGTTTTGCTTGCGCGATGCACGTTGTATCGCCTTGCGTCGGGTGCACGAAGACCGCCGCTGCTTCAGCGTTAACCAAAGTGGCTTGGTGAAACCCTCATCCAGCAGTGGATTGACCATGGCTGTTGGTAATTTTTGACAATTCTCCATCGAGTTAAATCGCTGTGCGCAATCGATGTTTTGAATGCCTACAAAACGCCCACGTGGCTCGGCCCGTCTGGAGTGTTCGGTCACGATTTAACGCGTGTGTGAGGGTTTTCTGTACGCGGGCATGGAACGTGCGTGTGGCACAAGTGGTACGATCGCGGAACCGTGCGTGGTACGAGCGCGGAACCGTGCGAGGTGGCGTTTAGGGAGAGCCCTTGTGCAGCCCTTGGTGCGCTGCGCTACCAACCCGGAGACCCGATTTGGAGTCCTGCTCACGGTTAATGTCAGTGACGAATAACCGGGCCTCCCCCTAGGGCGACTCAGCCGCAAGTTGGTACTTGATGCGGTGTGGTCATCGTAGGTGCTTCACGTTAACAGCACTTGCCCCAGCAGTCTGTTAATGGCTTTACGGGGGATCTTTGGAGTAGTGCGTGTGTTCATTGACGTGCCATGTTATTCCTTTAATAATATTTTGAACTCGAACCTTTACATCCATTTGGGGAAAAAATATAATTGCAAATATGATTTAAAATCATGGCCTGCAGTTACGCTACCAATATTGTTTCTTACAAAAAGATGTATTTTTGTGCTCATCTTTGTAGCCAAAATACGTATCGTCAGCGTTAACAATCGGAAACGGCGAAGAACGTCGAAATTGTTCGTATACACACCAAAGTGTTTCTCCTCCCAACGGAAAACTTCGTAATCTTAAACTCGCCTTCCATGTGCCATTGCGTTAAACATCTCAGCCGGTTTAAAAAAAAATATTTCTTTACCTTAACGGGTACAGAAATTTGTCCCCTTTTTTTAAACAAATGTATTCCTGTGCGTGGCCTGAGAACGACGGTGTTGCTTTGTGTGGCCTGAAAACCACGTGGTCTTGCTTCGTGTGGCCTGAGGACCACATGGTGTTGCTTCGTGTGGCCTGAGAAACACGTGGTCTTGCATTGTGACCTGAGTGACCACGTGGTCTTGCTTCGTGTGACCTGAGAACCACGTGGTCTTGCTTTGACCTGAAAACTACGTGGTCTTGCTTCGTGTGGCCTTAGTGACCACGTGGTCTTGCTTCGTGTGGCCTGAGAACCACGTGGTCTTGCTTTGACCTGAAAACTACGTGGTCTTGCTTCGTGTGGCCTTGGTGACCACGTGGTCTTGCTTCGTGTGGCCTGAGAACCACGTGGTCTTGCTTTGACCTGAAAACTACGTGGTCTTGCTTCGTGTGGCCTTAGTGACCACGTGGTCTTGCTACGTGTGGCCTGCTTACTGCAGAGTGTTCTGCGCTTGATCGCTTTGCTCCAGGGGGTGTCGTGTGGAAGCCTTGTTCAGCGCCACCTTGGCTGGGTTACACGGGGCAATATTAAATTATGCATAATTGTGTTCGTGGCAAAGCTGTGGTAACTCAACCGTGTGACGGAACAATGATTACTCCTTCACAGCCACCGTTTCGTTTCTTTGATCTGTTGCGTGGGGACCGATGAGAGCCGTCTGCGATTGGATCGAATTCGTCACGTACAAGTATGAAACCCGTGCACACGTGTTGTGGTTTTACTCTCCAACGCACCGGCGTGCTGAACGAGTAACGAATTGGCACGTTTTGTTTGCGTGATAAAACCTTTTTGATTGTGTTGGGTGGTAGCGGGTTGAACGACACATTCGTATTTACGCGAACTGACCCCAAAACATCCGTTATGGTGCTTATCCTGGTTATGAGTACAGTAGTTGTACGGGGCTTTTTTCAGGAAAGGATGTATACATTTAAAATGCAACCCATAAGGTTTTGTTACGAAGAATTAATCGGCACTCAAGTCCAGCAACATTTTTATTTAATCGCAAGTCCCTGTGCCGATTTCGCCCTGAACGGTGCTGTTTGTTGCTGGTGTTTTAAGGACCTTTTTGGGCCTGTGGCTCGGTTTAAATATACACGGGTGACACAAAAGTCATGTTCAGTTTGAACAAATCACGTAGGGTTATGAAATTTATTTTCACCAATGTTTAACAACGTGTAGAGGCTTTCTCGACCAATATCCATAAGAGGTGTTTTTTTTGTTGGGTTAGATCGGGTAAATATGCGTCGTTAAACTCGCCACCATCCGACACAGACAATCAGTAAGGGGTTTGTCACGTAAACAAAACTTGCCAACACGTTACGAGTTCAGCACTAACTGGTTTTGTGTTGGAGAGTAAACCCACTGCAGCATTTACAATTCGTTTCGCCGGTAATTGCAACCAGCATCGTCAGGAGGACTGCCAGAATTGTGAATAAATCCTCCTGTTGTTTCGGTCTTAAATATTTTAACGAATGTTCAAACTGACTTACGTTAATGCGTGCGCCGCGACATTTTCTTATTAGACGAGACAAAAGTTCATCTTCGTTGCTATTCCTATTCCATTTTTTTGATCGTCACGTGAAAAGGAAGAATAAAAAACAATTGATGTTAATAATGATAATAGGGCTACTATTAACTTAAAAGTTAAACAATTCACATGTTGTAATGCCAGTGTTAACATAGATTAAATAACCCCTTCGTGATTTGTTCAAATTAATACAACCCTGTATATTAAAAAAAAATTGCCTTTAGCATTCGGCACAATAATATTTGTTTAAATTTTAATCCTCTGAATCTGGGAACTATTTGGTTGTATTTTTAAGAAGACGTTTTTTGTTCTTTTCATTTTGTTGTTGGCCAAAGCTGGTGATGTTCAGTTGGTAATTAGTCCCAAACGTTACACAGAATTAAATTAAAGGCCACGTTACCATCGGCCGGAGGGTCACGTTGCACTGACGTCACTGTGTGCCGTTTGTTCGCAAGCGCAGTGTGCCGGGTTGTGTGACACCTTGTGAATGCGTGCGCCTGTGTGCATGTGTTCGACTCGACCTCAAATACGAGTACCTGGTGCGGTGGAGTAAACATCGCCACTGGGGAGACAAAGGCGGCCGTGCGTGGAGCGGGCCACCCACGTGTGCCGTGTCGGCCTTCATAGGTGCTCGATAAAAAGGCACTTGCTCCTATGGTCTGTTGTGGCTAAATGGGGGAATCGCTATCTTTGTTGTGTTACTCAGCCTCAAATGAGTGCCTTGTCCAGTGGTGTGTAGTAAGCGTCGCCACTGGGGAGACAAAGGCGGTCGGGCGCGGTGCTGGCCACCCAAACCCCCTCGTGTGCCATGCGGGCCTTTATAGGTGCTGCTACTCGCTAACAGCACTTGCCCCCAACGGTCTGCTCAGGCTGTACCAGGGTTCTTTGCCGTTTGGTTTGGGCGAGAAGTGGTTACGTACTAACCCCGATGGCTTGAATTAAGTTCCTGGCCACGGCTAACCATTAATGGTGGTTATCTGCCTTAAATGTTCCTACTGCGGTGAGGAACCGAGGTGGCGAGATGTAATCTCCCTCGCTTGCTATGCAGGAGGCCGTGGGTTCGATCCCTGACCCTGACGCTTTTATATCTCTCTCCGTGGTCCCTTGGATTGATTGTTTCTCTTCTCTGAGGCCCTTCGTCTTTTCCCTCCACGTTTAGAATCAACATCACGCGTTCAGCGTTTTGGCTGCTATACATTTCCACGATGATAAGCCACTTCGGTTGCGCTATCATTTGTGGCCAGGTCGCTTCCGAAAAAACGGCAGTATATGTATGCATGTCGAACTAACTTCCTTCGCACCGCACGTAGCCGACCCGTGCCAATCGGAGGTGCGATTAGCACGGTTGGCAACGTATAGAGTGGGCCTTACCGTGCTGAGAGGATAGGAGGGGGGGGAGATTAAGTGGTGGAATTGCGATAACCCTAACCACCCTCGATCCCATTAAGGTCGTGTTGGTCTTAACGGGTGCTCGCAAACAGCGCTTGCCACAAGTCTCTACGGCTATCGGGTGATATCTGTATATTTGTGTTTTTTTTTAAGTTAATCCTCCCATAGGGGAAGGGGGGGTGGGTGGGGTGGGAACTCCCCCTCATTAAAATAATTGACTGAACACATTCCGAGCAGGACTCTCTCTCTACCTGACACGGAAGGCTTGAGGCTTGGATGAGGCTTTCCTGGATACAAGGCACACGCGATCGTTATTTTATGCGACCCGGTGGAGTCGAGGCTCGGTGTTTCCCCGCTCAAAGGGAGAAATTGGGTGGCACGCTCTGGCTCCACAAACGGCTCATGAAGCTGTGGCCGAAATTCAGTGTTCCCATGGCGGGGAGCCAGTTATGTGTCGTGCAGTAATTCATTATTTTTGTTGACTTGCTGCAAAGTGGTAACTATTTAACTGACCTCGGATAGGATGATGGCCTGAGTCAACCCCAGGGTCTGGGATCGGGACTCTTAAAAAAACTTTCCAAATGATGAAATGGTACTAACCGTGTCACCTGGACCGGTGAAGTGCGGATTAAGAGTGTCGTCTTAATTAATTTGGCTAAATACCAGCAATGGCCCGTTTCAAAAATCGGTTTTGACCTATCATGCGGCAACCGTTACTCCCACAAGGCAGAGCGGGCCGGAAAGGGCTGCCCTACATCGAGTTCGTGCATGTACGTCGAACTTCTTTCGCACCGTACGTAACCATCCGTGATACTCGGTGGTGCGGTGGAAGGACAACAGACTAAACACAAAACAGTTCGGAAAAAAATGTATCTAGACGATTGAAAAGTGCACCGCTCCGGTGGCTTCCTAATATCGGAACGGAAGAGCGTTCCAGACGGCCGCATAAGCCCATCTGGAAGTGCCGCGCGATGCGGTGACCCCACCGTTGTCTTTGTTCGATGACTCGGCCAAAAGCCGCCGCCGCCGCTGCTGCCGCGAGGATGACCCAGAGTGTCACGTGACGATGATTCATGCTCCTCGAGATCACCGACGAAGCATCGTGGTTCATTGGTTGTCGCTAAGTGCTTTGTGTGCGCGCGCGATTAAAAATGTGGGACTCCGTCGCTTTGAGAGTTTCCCCGGCGGGTTGTCCTGCCTCGCGAAACGACGCCGGTGCGAAGCGAAGGCTTTGTCATAAAACTTCTGTTTTTTTTGTTTCGTTTAAACCGGCGTGAGAAGTCGCGAGCGTGTGAGCCGGGTCACCGAGAAATGGCAAAACAAGGTACGGCGACCCGAGGCGAATGGAAATTGTTAATGTATGAAATGCAATTCCGATAGCACATTTGCGCACGCGTGCGAGGGTTGTTAACCTTGTCGGGGAGGCTAGGCAGACGTGAATTGCCGTGCTGACTTAGAGGAGGATGAAACCCTCAGTTGCGTTGTGGCCTCCTCTTCCCACATTGTATTAGCCATGGCCACGGGTTTTAACATTGTTATATTATTACTGAATTTGATTGCTTTTTTTTGTCGTGAATAAAAGTCAATCCATCCCGCTCGTTCTCGCCGTGCTGGCGTGTGTGATTTCATCATCGGCAGGCCGATGCATACGTCCGGTGCGGGAGAAGAAGTTCTACATACAAACAAACAAACATCTCATTCATGAATAGAAAATTAAAGACGAGCCACAGTGGAGCGACTGTGGTCACGCAACCCAAACTGGACCATGTCGTAAACCCATAGAGACACAGCGACGTACATAGACACACACACACACCGAGATACATTAAAGACGAGCCACAGTTTGTGTGATTGTGGCGATGTAACACAAACCATAGGCCATACAGTACACCCATAGACACATAGAAATACATCAAGGACAAGCCCACGGTATTGTGACTGGTCACGCAACCCAACTATGGGTTATATAGTAAACCCATAGAGACACAGAGATAGAGACACTCGTAAATATATATATTAAAGACGAGTCTAGTTCACCATGGAAGTCCAGTTCACCGTGGAAGTCCAGTTGACCGTAGAAGTTCAGTATACCATGGGAGTCCAGTTTACCGTGGAAGTCCAGTTCACCATGGGAGTCTAGTTCACCATGGGAGTCCAGTTCACCATGGGAGTTTAGTTTACCGTGGAAGTCCAGTTTACCATGGGAGTTCAGTTCACCGTGGGAGTCCAGTTTACCGTGGAAGTCCAGTTTACCATGGGAGTCCAGTTCACCGTGAAAGTCCAGTTCACCATGGGAGTCTAGTTCACCATGGGAGTCCAGTTTACCATGGGAGTTCAATCACCTTGGAAGTCCAGTTCACCGGGGAAGTCGAGTTCACCGTGAAAGTCCAGTTCACCATGGGAGTACAGTTTACCATGGAAGTTCAATTCACCATGGGAGTCCAGTATACCATGGAAGTCCAGTTCACCATGGGAGTCCAATTCACCGTGGGAGTCCAGTTCACCTTGAAAGTCCAATTCACCGTGGGAGTCCAGTTCACCTTGAAAGTCCAATTCACTGCGGAAGTCCAGTTTACCATGAAAGTCCAGTTCACCGCGGAAGTCCAGTTTACCATGAAAGTCCAGTTCACCTTGAAAGTCCAGTTCACCGCGGAAGTCCATTTTACCATGAAAGTCCAGTTCACCGCGGAAGTCCAGTTTACCATGAAAGTCCAGTTCACCTTGAAAGTCCAGTTCACCGCGGAAGTCCAGTTTACCATGAAAGTCCAGTTCACCGCGGAAGTCCAGTTTACCATGAAAGTCCAGTTCACCGCGGAAGTCCAGTTTACCATGAAAGTCCAGTTCACCTTGAAAGTCCAGTTCACCGCGGAAGTCCAATTCACCTTGAAAGTCCAGTTCACCGCGGAAGTCCAGTTTACCATGGAAGTCCAGTTCACCGCGGAAGTCCAGTTTACCATGGAAGTCCATTTCACCGCGGAAGTCCAGTTTACCATGAAAGTCCAGTTCACCGCGGAAGTCCAGTTTACCATGAAAGTCCAGTTCACCGCGGAAGTCCAGTTTACCATGAAAGTCCAGTTCACCGCGGAAGTCCATTTTACCATGAATGTCCAGTTCACCGAGGAAGTCCAGTTTACCATGAAAGTCCAGTTCACCGCGGAAGTCCAGTTTACCATGGGAGTTCAATCACCTTGGAAGTCCAGTTCACCGGGGAAGTCGAGTTCACCGTGAAAGTCCAGTTCACCATGGGAGTACAGTTTACCATGGAAGTTCAATTCACCATGGGAGTCCAGTATACCATGGAAGTCCAGTTCACCATGGGAGTCCAATTCACCGTGGGAGTCCAGTTCACCTTGAAAGTCCAATTCACCGTGGGAGTCCAGTTCACCTTGAAAGTCCAATTCACCGCGGAAGTCCAGTTTACCATGAAAGTCCAGTTCACCGCGGAAGTCCAGTTTACCATGAAAGTCCAGTTCACCTTGAAAGTCCAGTTCACCGCGGAAGTCCATTTTACCATGAAAGTCCAGTTCACCACGGAAGTCCAGTTTACCATGAAAGTCCAGTTCACCTTGAAAGTCCAGTTCACCGCGGAAGTCCAGTTTACCATGAAAGTCCAGTTCACCGCGGAAGTCCAGTTTACCATGAAAGTCCAGTTCACCGCGGAAGTCCAGTTTACCATGAAAGTCCAGTTCACCTTGAAAGTCCAGTTCACCGCGGAAGTCCAATTCACCTTGAAAGTCCAGTTCACCGCGGAAGTCCAGTTTACCATGGAAGTCCAGTTCACCGCGGAAGTCCAGTTTACCATGGAAGTCCATTTCACCGCGGAAGTCCAGTTTACCATGAAAGTCCAGTTCACCGCGGAAGTCCAGTTTACCATGAAAGTCCAGTTCACCGCGGAAGTCCAGTTTACCATGAAAGTCCAGTTCACCGCGGAAGTCCATTTTACCATGAATGTCCAGTTCACCGAGGAAGTCCAGTTTACCATGAAAGTCCAGTTCACCGCGGAAGTCCAGTTTACCATGAAAGTCCAGTTCACCGCGGAAGTCCATTTTACCATGAATGTCCAGTTCACCGAGGAAGTCCAGTTTACCATGAAAGTCCAGTTCACCGCGGAAGTCCATTTTACCATGAAAGTCCAGTTCACCGCGGAAGTCCAGTTTACCATGGGCAGGGGTCGGTAACCTGCGGGTCCGTGGCCAGCGCCGCTCATTGAGGACTGCTTCGTGACGTTATTTGCTAAGCACCACCACCACCGTGTCGTATTCATCACGTGCACCTCGTCTCTTGAAATATCGAGGAGTTCTTGGGCTTTTGTTGATACCGAATTCGCAACATAAATGCCTCTTCTTCTTGTTGTTTTCCGTTGCTCCACCGCTGGACTGGAGGGAGAGAGAGAGGGCGAATTTTTTGCCCCCAACAAACGGAAGTTCCCACCAGAGGGCGATATTGGCACATGCGTTCGGCACATCAACTCCTGCAAACTAAACCATGTGTTTTTTTATATTTTACCAGGTAAAAACCCCACGGGGCTGTCTTCAGAAGCGATCTGGCTATCACGAATGATGGCTCAGCCAAGTGGCTCACCGTCATGTGAGCATTTATACCAGTCGCCAAACAAGCTAAACTAAAGTTCTTTTAGTTTTTTTCTTCTTCTTGGTTATTTCGGTAAAGCCACCACGTAGAAGGGAAATAATAAAAATAAAACATAATAAAATAAAATTCTCACGACGTTTCGGCCACAACACAAGCGGCCGTCTTCAGGTGAAGGAACAGAACTGTCGGAAAGACGGCGCTTCAATGAACACCGCCAAGCTTGGCAGCGTCTTTTAAGCTGGGTGGGAGGAGCAGAGCGCCTTGACAAAGGAGTTTACATATCAACAGAAGAATTTAGCATTGAAGTAGCTGTGTTAATGTGAGAGATTAGCAGGGTGTTAAAGTCAGAAATTAGCATGTAACTGGGAAATTATATTAAACATTACACTGAAAGGTACTAAGATATTAGCAGGATGTTAAAGTGAGAAATTAGCATGTAACTGGGAGATTAGCATGATGTTAGTGTGAGGATTTAGCATGTAACTGGTCACGGAAGTGGCTATGTTAAAGTCAGAGTATACATATCAACAGAGGCATTTAGTATATACTTTTACTTTGCCAGGTAAGGCCCACTGAGCTCTACAGCTGTTTATTCAGAAGCGACCTGGCCATGACAAATGAGAGCTTTAACAAAGTGGCTCATCATGTGGAATAGTTCTAGTAATAGCCAAATACTCCAAACGCGTGGATGTTGTTTCTAAACGTGGAGGGAAAAACCGGAGGACCCGGAGAAAAATCCACCCGACCAAGGGGGAGAGAGAGAGAGACGCGCAAATTCCAAATATACAGCAGCAGGCGTCAAGGTCGGGATCGAACCCACGATCTCCTGCATACCAGGCGAGGTAGTTAACATCTCACCATGGAGAGAGACACGAAAACTCCAAATATACAACAGGCGTCAGGGTCGGGATCGAACCCACGATCTCCTGCATACCAGGCGAGGTAGTTAACATTTCACCATGGAGAGAGACACGCAAACTCCAAATAGACAACAGGCGTCAGGGTCGGGATCGAACCCACGATCTCCTGCATACCAGGCGAGGTAGTTAACATCTCGCCACCGTGGCGCCCCATTACTAAGGGGCCGTACATAAATGACGTCACGCGATTTTGGACGATTTTTGACCCCCGCCCCTCGTCACACGGCTTCACAAAAAGTCAGACACCCCTCAAATATGACGTCACAAAGCTCTGCCCCCCCCCCAAAAAAAACCGTATTTATATTTTGAAAATAAAACATGCTTCAAATCCCTTTAAACTATTGTCATTGTAGTGCGTATTTAATGTGGCGCTGCACTCTGATGTTGTAGGAGACATTTATTTAAAAAAAAAAGTCTATTTAATTAGGTAGAACGTGTTGTCTGTATTTATTTAAAGTTGCGCATTTTGATGTGACGTCACATTTCTCAAATCCCCCCCCCTCATCACAAATGTCTGACCACCCCCCCTAGGTGCGTGACGTCATTTATGGACGGCCCCTAAAGCTCTTTATCACAGCTGTTCAGTCGGGGCGGGTATGAACGTGAACAACAACGAACAGTACACAGAGGGTTTGGTTGTTACGTAATGTAGGTTTCGGGGTGAGTAGTCTATAGTCCACGATCGGGTTCGCGTTGCAAGTAAAAATGTTATAAATAGTAGCCCGCAAAATACTGGGGGGGGGGGGGGGGGGGTGGGAGGGGGGCAAAGTTAATGTGTGGGTGTTGATGTCAGCACTTACATAAACTCTAATCGCCACTCGCAGGAAGTCTGGCTAATGGACAACTAAATTAAAGCTAAACTATAAATTGTTTTTTTTTTACTTTTACCAGGTAAGGCCCCACTGGGCTTTTTGTAGCTCTCTTTCAGGAGCGACCTGACCATCACAAATACTGCTGGTAGGAACCTCCTGGTTACTACACCACCAGCCCACAGGGGGTTATTGTGTCCGTCCGTCCGTCGGGCATCCAAAAATGGGAGGGGTGGGGCTGGGTGGAGAGGGGAGGGTGGGGAGGGGCTGGGTGGGG